GAGTTAAATACTCAGTGGTCTTCAGGTCCCAATTAAACTCAGCATGCTGCTGAAGCACCTTCCCAAACCATATATTCTTTTGCACGTGCCCATTTGCAACTACGGAAGCACAACACCAGTTTTCACTGCTGTCTTGTGGTCTTTGTTTGGAACTCCAGTATAAGTTATAAATTGAATCTCTGTTTTATTACGTGGATTTAGAGGTCAAGATAAGGACAGCTTATTGAAGTGCATAGAGAGACTCTTGTTTCTCTGCAGACCAATGGAGTTGAGCAGCCTTCTTTATTCTTAATGAATTATCTTTTATATTTTTCTGGAAAGTGAGTGATTTTTATATTTGTTATTAAAAGTTTTACACAGAGTTACTTATACTGCCTCTCCCATTGAAAAATGAATTCAGTATCACATTTCTTTGTTTACCAGTAACTCAATAATAATTCATCACTCTGAAAATTTACTTTTACCCACTGAGCAATTACAGGCTAGGGCTGTGATGAATTTTAATAAGCTTGGTACATAATTACTCAATATATGGAATGTGATAAGCTTACTTTCATTAGCGCTCCTCATAAAGCATCACAATGTGATTTTCAGGGGGAAGACACATGGCTTGGAGCGCTGGCCTGCTGAACCTTGTGTTCGCGGTCAACAGCTCTATGGTGATGTGGGGTCTTCTGAGGCTTCCTGGCAGGTGAGAGGCATCTCAAGGGACTGTGTTTCAACAGGGAGGTAATCACAGCTTCCTCATTCATGGCATAGCTTAAAACACCTTTGCTCTCAAGACATTGATTCATTGTTTCTTTTTCTTCTCACAGGCTCCTGGGATCCTGCACCTCCGCCTCATGGCGGTATCTCTCCTTCTCCTCAACTCGTGACTGCCTCCAGGGCCCAGGGGACTCAGGAAGTAGTTGTCTGGGGTGGGGCTGAGTGTTTTTACTTAAAAGCTGCCCTAGTACTGCCATGTCCCACTGAGACATCTTTGCTGAGCTGACCTCCTTAAACCATTCAGCTCATCCATGTGGACTAGAAGAAAATTGGGTTTTCATAAGATGTTTAATGCAATTCTTCCTCATTTCTCCTAACACAAAAGGCAGTAACTTTGGTCTTCAGGAAAACATCCTTCCCCTGAGCCCTGAGATCCTCCAGCATAACAATTAGAAGAGGGAAACAGGCTGAGCTGCAATAGCTGAAGAAACTCTACTCTGGGCCCTCCAGGTGGGACCTCTTTCCCGGAGGAGGGAAACTTCCTGCCAGGGCCACCAAGAGCAGAGGACTCACATTATGAAGGCTGACCCATTCTCTTGTGTTTGGGTTGCTGTTCCGACATTGGCTCGCAGGTAAAATTCACAAATGAGACGTCTAAAGTATCCAGTTCACAATATGCCTTTCCCAAATCCTTGGTACCTTTGCTTTCCTGGGCCCCTTCGTCTATCATATATACACGTATGTACTTTAAGTCCTGGGGTACATGTGCAGATCTTGCAGGATTGTTACATAGGTATACACATGCCATGGTGGTTTGCTGCCTCCATCACCCTGTCACCTACATTAGATATTTCTCCTAATGCTATCCCTCCCCAGTCTGCCCAGACCCTGCTATCCTTCCCCTAGCCCCCCATCCCCCAACAGACCCCAGTGTATGATGCTCCCCTCCCTGTGCCCATGTGTTCTCATTGTTTGACACCCACTTATGAGTGAGAACATGCAGTGTTTACTTTTCTGTTCATGTGTCAGTTTGCGGAGAATGATATTTCCAGATTCATCCATGTACCTGCAAAGGACGTGAATGCATCCTTTTTTATGGCTGTATAGTATTCCATGATGTATATGTGCCACAATTTCTTTATTTAGAGTGTCTTTGATGGGCGTTTGGGTTGGTTCCATGTCTTTGCTATTGTAAACAGCACTGCAATGAACATACATGTTCATGTGTCTTTCTAGTACAACGATTTATAATCCTTTGGATATATACCCAGTAATGGGATTGCTGGGTCAAATGGAATTTCTATTTCTAGGTCTTTGAGTAATCGTCACACTGTCTTCCACAATGGTTGAACTAATTTGCACTCCAACCAACAGTGTAAAGGCGTTCTTAATTTTCCACATGCTCTCCAGCATCTGTTGTCTCCAGATGTTTTAATCATGGCCATCCTAACTGGCGTGAGATGGTATCTCAATGTGGTTTTGATTTGCATTTCTCTAATGACCAGCACCTCCATCAAATATTAAGATATGTTTACTACTGTGTTGATATAAAGATAATGTATTATTATTTTATGGTGAAACATTTTCTTTGACCTGAGAAAACATTGATTTTCTTCTGATTTTAGAATAAATGAAAACATTTTGATGTTATCCATAGGTACCCACCTGCTGTGCAGCCCCTAGTCTTACCTGATTCAGGCTGATATAGCCAAGCACCATGAACTGAGTAGCTTATAAACAACAGAAATTCATTTTTTCTCAGTTCTAGAGACAAAGGCTGGGAAGTACACAGTACAGGCACACACAGATTTGGTTTCCAGGGAGTCTTCCTGTCCACAATCACAGATGTCCATCTCTCTGTGTCCCCCCACTATAGAAGGGCAAGGAAGCTCTCTGTCCTGTTCATGAGCGCACTCATTCCATTTACAAGGGCTCTGTTCTTGTGACCTGTTAACTCCCAAAAGGTCCCATCTCCTAATACTAGCACCTTGGGGGTTAAGATTTCAACGTAAGAATTTCAGGGAGACGCCAACATTCAGTCCACAGCACATCCCGTGTTCCCTGATGAGATGCAGAATAGCAGAGACTGGAACTGGTAGACATGATGATGGGGGCGGGGTGGAGAAGGAGGGGGGGGTGGGCAGAGCCTTCTTCCTCCTTTTTCTGGAGTAGCCCACCTGGCTGATGGCTGGCCTGTGGAGGAAGTGAAATCCCTTTCCCTACCTATTTAGGCAGCGTGTGAAATTGGTGGCCTGGTCCGTCTTTATTTTCCTTCATCCAGAGATCAACTTAAAAATACAGCTCCTGAAAATGAAAACCGTAGTATCAAGGATAAGAAAAGAGAGAAAGAGAGAGATTTGCAGGAACATATTAAAGATATATTTTAGAAATCAAAAGAAACTTTCAAAAGTATAAAAGAAGAAAGATCAGGAGGCTGAGGCAGGAGAATTGCCTGAACCCAGGAAGCGGAGGTTGCAGTGAGCCGAGATCGCGCCATTGCACTCCAGCCTGGGAAACAACAGTGAAACTCCGTCTCAA